AACTAACTATCAATATAGCATGCGAAATGCAAGAAATAAACAGATTAATTAATTGTGTGTTTGCGCAAGAACATTGTAATATCAATGGAAAATAAATTTTATGCTAAATTTGTTCAAAGCACGCACATGGTTTATACATGCTTTCCTCACATAAAATAGGGAGAGAAGGTGAGTCGTATTCATAGATCGGTTATATATAGTGTACCCTTCTCATTTTATGGTGTATCCATTTCATTTCTTCATTTCACCCAATAACGACTGGTGCACAACGTTTGTATAGTTTTTGGGATACATACCTTATAATCTTGGGATACATATGCTCGAGCCATGACGCGCGTTCGGGGCATTATCGCGAGAATGTACATAGCCACCCCGAAGACAGCACAATATGATTTTCAATCCTACGTGAAATTATTTTGAAATTTCAGTTACCAGAATTTTCCCTGGGATGAGATCTGGTGAGGTAGAAGGGACTCGGAGAGCAAACAAGAAGCTGAACGCATTCCATGTAAACAAATTTTTTCGAACTTCTCGCAACCTTAGCTGTGAAGCCCGATTTCGTTAGTATTTTTTTGAACTGGCTTACAGACATGTAACCAACTCTTACGTTCATGTCTTAAAGATCTTCATCGTTCATTTATATAGTTGCTCTAGGTTTTTCAATTTCCCGATACATATTCATGTACGAATCGAAAGTTCAAATATAATAGTTCTTCTAGTTGAAGCAGTTCCTAATGAATTCATAGGCCTTCAGTAATTGTTCTACAAGATCACTTCATCACTGATTTTAGCATTCTAGTCATAATATAACTAGTGAAGCTCATAGAGATTCCAAAATCAAAAGAGCGAGGCAAGATTGCATGCGCTGCTACCTTACCAAAATTTCTCATCTTATACGCAACATTTTCTTGCAACCTTTGGCTTTGATAAATCCTTTGACTATCCAGAACTCTCTTGGGCATTTGATCTCATCTCTTTGCGCGTTAGAGGAGAAAGCAAAGAAGTATAGCAAGAAACTTGAACTGGCTCACAGCAAATAGTGTTTTTATCTATTAAAAGTGACTCAACATGACGA